CAGTCCAACCCCTACCTCCTCAATTTTACAAATGAGGAAATTGAGACTTTGAGAGGGTCAGTTCTTTTACATACAGCTAGTAAGTGCACGGGTGGAATTTGAGCCAGTATCTTTCTGCTTCCAAGACCAGCATGGTGGCCACTGTGCCTGTCTGTCTTTCTTATGTTATCTTCCCAATTACACATTATCACCTAAAGTATAACTAGAAGTTGAACATAGGTTTTATATAAGCTAGATCTGGGTGAGAAGTATATGTAAAAGTGCTTTGCAAATATTAATGTGCTATGTAAATGTCATTGCTCCTTTTCTTTCTTGACTGTTTTCCTATCTTTCCGTTTGTCTATTTCTTGACATTATTTCTTCTTTAAAATAATTTTCTTTCTGATGTATCGGATTATTTCCTGAATCCTCTCTAAGAACCTCTCATAAACCAGCATGTGAAGGGCACCAGCACTTAGGGGGATCAGGGAGGCACCAGCACTTAGGGGGATCAGGGAAGGCTTCATACAAAAGATGTTACTGAGCTGCCTCTTAAAAAGATGGATTCTGTGAGTCAGTTAGAAGGAGAAAGTATATCTTGGGCAGGAGGACAGCCAATGCAAAAATAAACAAGCAAAAAAACACGAAGATGTGAGTTAGAATGTGAGGATAAGAGAGAAGCTCTGGTTAATTGGATAGTTGAGCCTGGGAATGGAGAAATGTCTAATGAGGCCAAAGAGATAGGTTAGGACTAGCTTGTGTAGGACTTTACAAATGAAATAGACAAAGTAATATTTTCTTAGCAATAGGAAGCCACTGTTGTGCCCCACTTATACCCGTTTTGGAGTGTAGTGGATGGTAAATGCTCTGTGTTGACTCAGTTTACCATTTCTTCTTTACTTACACTCCTCCAGTACAGCAGAAGGCCTTTAATTGTAGTACTCTCCTTTAACCTAGGGAATGGCTGCACTAAACAAACTATCCCTAAGCCATTGTTTTCATAAGACTGAGATGTTGGTGTCTTTCTAGCAAGAGTGAGGAGTAGGGAAAGTTTTGAATGGGGTGGTTAAGTGTCCAGTATCAGATCTCAGCAGCCAAGCTTTGGCCCTATTTTGTTTGAAATTCTGTGAGCTCTCCAGGCTCTTGGAACCAAGCATGAGATATGTAAACTCCAAAGTCAAGTATGCGTTGCTTTTATTATTTTCACTACTACTTCCTTCCATTAGGGAATAATCAGTCTTAGATTTATTTGCCAGATTGTTTTTATCTTCACTTTAGAAGACTGTTACAGGTTAATTCTGGATTTGGTATAGGGGAGGGGTGAGGAGAGGAACAGGAGTAGGAAATGATGTTTAGTGCATGCATCTGCCCAGAACTCTCCTTGTAATCTTGAAAAATACAAGTAGCTAATGAGACTGGAAGTACATTTAGAGAGCATATGCCAAGAAAAAAATGGAAAAAAATATTAAATAGAAATTTTGGAGGAGAAAAACCTCATGCTTATAAAGGAGGTTTTTTTATGCACACAACTCATTTTTCAAAAAATAGCAGCTGAGAATTGGTTTTCTAAGATTTCTAATTTTAAAAAAAATAGGCTTCCTTTCCATCAGGTTTCCCTGCCCAACATTTTTTCATAATAACATAATTAATACGTAATAACCAAAACCTCACTATAACAGCTGCTTATTCTCAGAGATGCAAATCCCTTCTGCACTCTGATTGGTGGAAAGAAGCCTTCAGGAAGGCCTTTAATACTTAGCCCAGTCAGAAAAATACAGTTGCTGTGTCCACCTAATAAGACATCATTGAATCACAAGGAGCAAGACTATAAGAACAGAACACTAATAGCTACTTTTTCCCCTCTATCTTTATCCTCCCCCTATATCTCTGAATGCTTGTTACTTAATTCTGCTTGTGGGAAGGCTGCCAGACCTATTGGGGAAAGCTATAGAGTTGTATAATAAACTTTTATGGGTTTGAAGAGCCCTATTCAGGTCCCTTCATCCCATCCTCTTCAAAACCCTCTAGATATTCCTAAACAGAGCTGGTCTGCCTTGCCCTATCTATCAGGTGAGAAACTTGAGCTTCTAAGGTGTGGAAGTTGTGGGAACAAGGGAGTTGATTTTACTTTACAAAGTCTTTATAGTCTCATTTCTGTGTAAAAACCTAATTTAAGCTCACAGAGTTTAAATCAGAATTATTAAACACTGCACCAGCCAGCAACACTGAGTAAGGTCTAAAACAGAATAAAATGTAATTGGGAAATATTTTAACAAATAAAAATACAACACAGAGAAGGTTAACGTGATTTTCTAATTCAGTATACAGCTGGCACCGATCCTTATGTATGGTTTAGTGCCCCTGACTCCCTTTCTGTACCTAAGTATTGATCGCTAAGGATGCATCTCATAGCTGTACAATGTTTCTTAACAGCTGCTCTGTATTATTTCTCCTAATGCCCCATTTTCCCAGAACCAGTTAATAATGTTAATCAGAATATGCCTATATTTGCTATTACTGATACTGTTCCTATTATATTTCACAAATGAAATCTATTCCAGAGGAAGCCTAACAAATTAGGAATGCCTTTTGGACCTCATTATAAAAGTACCACTGGCTGTCCATTATAACTATACAGTTAAAATGACAAAATGTTGTAGAAAAAATAGACTGTCCTAATTTGGGGGCAGTATCTTAAGTAAAATGTAATCTGTCTCACCTTCAGGTCTTTATTGGTCTTATTGCCACTCTTTATATCTGTATTAATCAACAAGCTTAATGTGAAGTGTTAATGTTAATTGTCTGTAAACTTAGTTCATTGAGCTAGTAATGCTGGATGGCTTTGGGGAGGCCCCTCCAAACAGTAGTTTGGAGTTGTACAGTGAGAAATGAAGAACATTCTTTTTCACTTTAGATGACTTTACTTCTCGACAGAGTTTAAGTATTTTTACCCTTTTGCATTAGGGGTTTGTAATCAGCCATTGCCTACTTGGAAACCCTTTATATTTGTTGTCATTAGATTTCAAATTCCATTTTATACTGGAAAAATCATATATTTCAAAGAGAAATTGTTAAATGAAACATATCTTTACAGTTTTACCTATTGCCAAAATCTTTATAGTCATATCGACAAATATTTATTAAAGGCAGGGCACATGCAAGGCATGATTAGATTGTAGGGCTGAGATAAATATGGCACAGGCCCTACTTTCAAGAAGCTTATAGCCTACTACCAAAATAGTCTTCCCAGAAGGAAAGGAAATATGGAAGGTAATGTTCTCACACGGAAGCATGTGGAGTAGTCTTTTAATATTGTACAGAATTACATTTCCTTACCAATGAAAATTACCCTTCACAGTCTGGCAGCAGCCTGCCTTTCCAGCTTCATCTTATGCTTCTCCCTTTTGTGTATTCTTTTAAAGACGATACTCTCCATCATCTGTTTGTCGATCTTAATGTATTATATAAATGCTAGCTATATTATTTATCAGGGCAGCTAGATGGTACAGTGGATAGAGTTCAGGGCCTGGAGTCAGGAATACTCATCTTCCTGAGTTCAAATCCAGCCTCAGACAGTTACTAACTGTGTGACCCAGGGCAAGTTACTTTTAACCCCGTTTGTCTCAGTTTGCTCATCAGGAAAAGGAAATGGCAAACCACTCCATTATTATCTTTGCTAAGAAAATCCCAAATGAGGTCAGAAAAGTTGGACTCAACCGAAATGACTGAATAACAACAACAAAAATGGGATTTGACTTTCTAAAAACATTCAGCTCAGGTGCAGCCTCCTCCATGAAGCCTTTTCCAATCCCTCTAGTTTTATACTCTCCCTCCTCTAGTGACCTTGTTTTTTCTGTGTACATATAGAATGTGAAAAATCCTGGAGGGCATGGAATTCATATAGGTAATTACTGTTTATTGAATTGAATAAAATTGAATTGTTCATACATTAGGAAGCTTGCTATATAATCAGTTCGGTAACATGTTCACACATGAAATAACCACCAAGTTAGGTGGGAGTGGACAGAATAATAATATAGTGCAATATGAGCCAAGGAGACCTCTAGATAAAGTATCTCATAAAGTTTCCTGAGGTAGGAGAATTAAAAGACTCTTTTCTTTCTGATGTTAATGGACAAGTTTTAGGGAAACAACAACCATGTTAGGTAATTATGTCATCCAGTCAATAAACATTTATTAAATGCTTTTTACATTCCTGACATTGTGCTAAGCCCAGAAGATTCAAAGAAAGAATTCTTTCAAGTGGCTCACAATCTAATGGGAGAGACAACTTGTAAATAACTAGGTACCTTCAAGATACATACAAAATATATGAAAGAATCTCAGAGGGGAAGGTACTGTGAGAGGAATTAACATTTTATGCAGTAGGTAATTAAGAGCCATAATAAGCCCTTGATTGTTTAAAGAGTGTGATGATAGTGCTGAAATTCTTGCCTACAGTAACTATCCTGTGTTCTTGATGTTTCCAAATCCTAACCACCCAATAAGCATATGGCACAGTATGAGAAGTATTCGGGCAAGTCACAAATCCTGAGCCTCAGTTTCCTTATCCACCAGACAGGGATATTAGTACTTATATGCTATCTCATAGGGTTGTTGGGAGGAATGCAGTTTTAAAATGTAAAGCAGTATAGAAAAGTGAGCTGTGGGGTATAGGAAGTACAGAATTGAAAGGAGTGATTACTGTTCTTGAGCAGTTTACATTATACTTTCTGTTGATACTAAAAATATTTGGTAAGAGACCTTGGAAAAGAATCCAGACAAATTAAAGTGAAATGGATCAAAATAGACTAAGTGAAGGAAATAGTGATTGAATACACTTCCACGTCCTGTTTCCTTCTAGCCTTCTGTATTCAAATGATTGTCACTGTTAGTTAATCCATCTACATATAGCCATTTGTCACCAGGAAAGTTCACCAGGAAATTTTCTGTCATCATCAGACACTTCAGTTTTGTCCCTTTCTCGTATTAATTAGGCTTTTTCTCTCTTTTTATTTAAGTAAAAGCTGGTGGAATGAGAATTGTGCAGAAACACCCTCATAGTGGAGATGCCAAAGAAGAGAGAGATAAGGATGATCAAGAATGGGAAAGCACCAGGTGAGAATTTTTATGACTAGTAAGCATTTCGTGGATAGCTTTTATCTGGTTAAATATTAATACTTGTTCTCTTTCTTAAGCCCAACATCATAGATAACACTGGCTATTTATGTAGAGGAGGGACTTTATACAGTTTATTTTTTCTTTCCTAATCAGTCATGTGTGAAAGTTTTGTTCCCAGTAATTCAAAAGAGAAATAGCAGATATTCTCAATTATTCTTATAGGTATCAATTTTCTTTTCATTCAACCTAGTCCTCAGCCATTCCATTTCACCAAGTCTTGCTAATCTTACCTCTCTGAGAGCTATTCCTCACAGTTTTAATCTCTGGAATACTTGAGCCAGAGAAGAAAAGGTAAAAATAAGCAGCTTCAAAAAATACGATAGCTCCTAAGTGATTCTAGTGGCTATGAAAACTGTTGTTGCTAGCAACTCACGTGTATTACCCAGTTTACTTATTTTTTTTATTTTTATTTTTTTTACAAAAAGCACAGTTGAAAGAGAAGGAACTTAGGAGTTGCCCATTACATTTGGAAGCATGATGGGTCTGCATATTTTTCTTAGTTTTAAACTGTGAGATCATTGATGTGAAAGTATCGTAAAGTCTTGTTTTGTAGGAAAACATCTTTTTCATGAGAGTACTGTAGCGGATATCAAGTTTCACAAAACTGTGTTTCAGAACATGAAGCCAGTGTCCGCTCTGCTAAAGTTTTCCTTAAAGACATAAACTCCAACCATAATTGGAAACATTGAGTCTTCATAAAGAGTCTTCTGTGATTAGTTACAATAAAACACTTCGCCAGTAAAAGATCTTGGAATGTTGCTAAACCAACTGCATTTTAGTGTCATTTTAAGTAGAATAAGTTACATCTGCTTTTTTTTTTTTTAGTCTAATAGAGTTTGTGGGATTGAGAGATAATTTATTGGCACGCTTAAAAAAAACCCAACAACGACAAAGCAGCAACCCACTTATTTTCTTCCTATTGATTTTTTTATGAAAAATGCAAGATTTATGTAAGGTGAACAAAATAAATAGTTCAGTGGATGAAAGATGGCTAGGGGAAAATGGAACACCCCAGCTCTCTAGATTTTAGCATCTTAATCATCTTAGAGATTTGGTCTCTCCAGAACGAAGTGCCTTGGAACAGAGCTAATAACAAGATTAGATTGTTTTTTGTCCCTTGCAGCCAGGTCTTTATCTTTTATAACAACATCTATCCTACTGGGCTGAGTCAGGCCCTTATTTCAGTGAATCTGTCATCTCATCAAAGTGGCTACTCATGCCCACGATTCAGATCACAGCCCATCCATCTCCTCTTATTCTTTATGACTTTTGTCTTTGTCTTCCCTTAAATCCTTCACAGAAAGGTGCACCCATGTTCTGGAAGTCTTTCTAGATCTCTTAACAGTATAAGGAGAGCCTGGCTGTCCAGGAACCCATTGATCAGGGCCTTAACTCTGATTAAATCCAGCAGCATGTACACAGCAGGCTTACAAACCATAGGATCTTAAACTGTAAAATAACATGCCAGGACAAGTGGTTTTGGGGAATGGGGATGAACCATTCAACCCCTTTTATCATCTGTTTTGGCCCAGATTTTGTGTTGGGATGGCTTAAAATCCACCCCATGCCCCACTCCTTTTTTTTCACCTCTTATTGATTCCACCAGGCATTGTACATATTCATCATTACAAGCTTTGCTTCTCAACTCTCAAATCCCACTTACCTCATTCTAACCTTTTGAATTTTTAGCAGAAGACCTTCTGTCTTCAAAGATAAAAGCAAAGCCGTCTATGATGACTTCACTCATTGACCCTTATTCTCCATGTCAGATATTTCTGTAATCTTTACTCATCCTTTCCTTTTAGTTAAATCTTCAAACCTATTCCCTCCTGTGTTCTCTAGAACTTTGCTCCTATCACACCCTAGTTTGGGTTTTCTTTTCTTTTAAAAAAAAATCTTTAATCTCTGTATCCTTTGGCTCTTTCTCTGCAAATAAAATACTTACAAAAACCTTTAACCTTGCTACCCTAAACCACCATCTAATCTCTTTTCTTCCTTTTATTGCTGAATTTCTTCTACCAAAAGCTGTCTTCACTCTTTCTTCTTCACCATTAACTCAAGCATTAATCATCTATTTTTTTAACTTCTACCCCAAAGACTACTGTATCTATTTTTTCCCCAAGATCTCAAGTTATCTAAACTCCAAGTCCATTTTTTATAATCATTTTATAAATTTTTTTCTTTTTTCTTTTCTTTTTCTTTTTTTTTATTTTTTTAGGCAATTGGGGTTAAATGACTTGCCCAAGGTCACATAGCTAGTAAGTGTCAAGTGTTTGGTCTGAGGTAGGATTTGAACTCAGGTCCTCCTGACTTCAAGGCCTGTGCTCTATCCACTGCACCACCTAGCTGCCCCTAAAATTTTTATAAATCATTCTTTTATAAACATTCTTTGTCTTGTTTCTTCTTGTCCTCCTTGTAGAATTCAACATTCTTGATCTTACTAAGTAGAATGATGATGATTTCTTTGTCATGGACCCCCTGACAGTCTGCTGAAGTTTATGAATCTCTTTTCAAGTGCAAAGAATTATTAAGGAAATGAATTGTATTCAAATTTTATTGTTAGCTAGTTGTTTTCAGTCATGTCCAACTCTTCATGACCCCATTTAGGGTTGTCTTGGCAAAGATACTGAAGTGGTTTGCCATTCTCTTCTCCAGCTTATTTTATAGTGAGGAAACTGAGGCAAACAGGTTTAAGTGACTTACCCAGGGTCGCACAGCTAATAAATATCTGAGGCTGGACTTAAACTTATGAACATGAGCCTTCCTGATTCCAAACTTAGTGCTCTATCCGCTGCAACACCTAGCTGTCGAGGTTATATTGAAATACAGTTACCAAAATTAAAAAAAAAAAATTCAGGGGCGGCTAGGTGGCCCAGTGTATAAAATACTAGTCGTGGATTCAAGAGGACCTGAGTTCAAATCCAGCCTCAGACACATAACACTTAACTAGCTGTGTGACCCTGGGCAAGTCACTTAATCCCATTGCCTAGCCAAAAATTAAAATTAAAATAAATTTCATGGATCTCAGGGTAAGAAACCTCTTAACAAAATAAATTATTTTAAACCTCCCACATTCAAAGAATACTTTCCCTCCCTATGTATATGATGTCTTCTCGAAAAGGCATGAAGCAACCCTCCCTCTCCATAACCATAATATGGATGGCTTTTGCTTTTCTTAGTGGCAGCACATCACAGTGCTGGACTTAGTAAGGAACAGTGCTGGATTTGAATGCCAGTCCTGTAAATCCAATGTTCTTTCCAGCGTAGAGGGACTTAAAATTTAATTTGGATTAGAAAATTCAGATCTACAGCTCCACAGACTTTACTTGCAGTGTTTAGGCCCTGCCTGTACCACCATCCCTCTGCTAGTCCCAGCAGCCTCACCTGTAATTCCACTGCAGAGTGTGGTGGGGCAGTGCCTTACCAACCAATGACCAAATGGGAGTATTACCTTGAGGGGGGGCCTCTTAGGCTGACTCAGCAAGGTTTAGTAAAGCAGTTGTTGGCTACACTATTTGCCTTCATTCCAGAGACTCCACCTTAACCCTGAGGAATGTATCTCTATCCCCAAGCCAACCCAGAGCTCTCCTGACTTCAGAAATGGTGATGAATATCCACCCCTGCCCAGTTTTTTTTTCAAGGGAAAAGGAACCACAAAATGACTATAATTAATTAATAAGAAGACAAGGAGTTAATGAATTTTAGTAATGGCAATGTGAGAAATCTCAAGGTACCAATGGGTTACTTGGACCAACCTTTCACCCTAAAGTCATCTCTCTTCTCTGCTGGTCAGAAACACTTAGCATACATTTCAGAGATCTCTGTGAAGTGGATATAACAAATGGTGATAAGAGAACAACCTTTTGGGGGCAGCTAAGTGGCACAGTGGGTAGAACGCTGGCCCTGAAGTCAGGAGTACCTGAGTTCAAATGTGGCCTCAGACCAAACACTTCACTTACTAGCTGTGTGACCCTGGGCAAGTCACTTAACCCCAATTGCCTAAAAAAAAAAAAGAAAAGAAAAGAAAACAACCTTTCCCTATCATGTGTTAGAGACATCTCAAAAATCATATGGTCTTAGGTTAAAAAAAAAAAGGGCTGTGCACTACTTCTTTCCTGACTTTAGTCAAGAGGATAGTATTACACTTGCATCTGAAAGTGCTATGAAAATGTAGGAATCTACTACCTTAAATATTGATGGTGCCGTTTTGCATGTATACTTTTTATTCTTTAAGTGAAGAATGCCACACAGAAGTCATCCTCATGAGAATACAGAGCAATTCTTTTTGCATTTCTTTGTAGGTTTGTTTGTTTGGGGATTTTTTCCTTTTAAAAAAATCAAAGCAAGTGTTTATAGTTGAGGTTTTGATTGGCAATTGCAACCATTTACAGCTGCCCGGTACTGCAGCGCACTTATGAAGATGAACAGCTTTAATTACCACTGGGATTATGAATTCTAGAGAGTAGAATCAATCATTTTCAAAACCTTTTGTTATCAGAGAAACTCTGTCATGGGTGGGCTTTCTGTTTAAATTTTATTTTAAAAACTACTTAAATTAAGGGCACATAATCCTAGGATTCATGCAATGCAAAGTTGACTGATGTTTAGAGTTAAAAGTTTAAACGCACCATCAGCATCTGACTTTTTTCTCATAGCAGAGTAAAGCTTTGCTAGACTTTTAACTCAGCAGTAGCAGCAGTGTGTTCTATTATTGGATACACTTCATGGTAATATGAACTAGAAGCCTGAAAAAATGAAGCGACATTTAGATGGAAGTTGGTATATAAACAGTGATTTTAGCTGTGCTCTTGGTTACAGTTTATTCTGAAAACAAAACAAAATAAAACCAAATACTAATTTTAACACAGCTATGACAGTAAGTACTGACAAGTCAGCTTGGTCTTCTTAGCCTGTATGCCCAGAAATCTCACCTTGAA